GCACAGCCACGCGTGGCCTGTCCCAGAGAGTTTCACAACTGCTTCGTGATCCTGGGAGGGGGTGGCAGGGGAGGGGGACAGTGACCTGTCTGAGGTCATGCACAGGTGGTGTGGGGGTGCCCTAGGGAAGGGAGGTTCCCACCTCATTCATTCAATTCCCACATCTCTGCCGTGCAGGGCTGGTTAAGAGGAGAAGGCTGGCATGAGCTGGGGACTTGCTGGCTGGGGACATCCAGGGGACATAACACTCAGGGCAGCCCTGGCTGAAGAGCATCTGCAAATGCACTCACGCTGCTTGGCTGCCGCCCAGCCCATCGCTTGGGAGGCCTGTTATTCCAGCTTGCAGGTGGACCACACTGTGAAGGAGGTGGAGTGGGCGACCCCCGGCACGGCTGCGGGGCTGTCTGTCCTGCAGTCCTTCATCACGGAGCGGCTGAAATCCTTCGGCGCCCACCGGAATGACCCCAACAAGGCGGCACTCAGCAACCTGTCCCCATGGTTCCATTTTGGTGAGCATCCCAGGCTTCCCACTCTGCAGCAGGACTGAGCAGGGTGGCTTGGACTGGCACCCTGACTTGCTCCCTCCCCATGTCCCCAGGCCAGGTTTCCACCCAACGGGCCATCCTGGAGGTGCAGAAGCACCGGGGCAAGTACAAGGAGTCAGTGGATGTATTTGTGGAGGAGGCCGTGGTGCGACGGGAGCTGGCTGAAAACTTTTGCTACTACAATGAGAACTACGACAGTGTGCAAGGTAGCATCCTGGGTTGGGTGGGCAACGCTGGGGGCTGGGCTGGTACCCGGCTGGTCACCTCAACTTGGCAATCCCATTTCTGCTAGGAGAGGGGCTGTGGGACCACTAATGTGCCATCATTCGGTACCTCCTGGAGGTAGGACACGAGCTGGTGGATGCCCTCTTCAAGGCTGGTGCCCCCAGGGCATGGTGTCTTCAGTAGCCCAATTCTCCATCCTTTCCTTGGGGCCCTGCAGGAGCAGGTTGCTCAGCATTGCTCCCCATTCTCTTGCTCACAGGTGCCTACGACTGGGCACAAACCACCCTGAAGCTCCACGCCAAAGACAAGAGGCCTTTTCTCTACGAGCTGCAGGAGCTGGAGCAGGCGACCACGCATGACCCGCTCTGGAACGCTGCCCAGGTAGTGCCCCGCATCTCCCCCCCAAAATGCTGAGCCTTTTCCCAAGGGGCAGAGGCGAGCTGGCATGGACTGACCCCTGTGGCCGTCCCTTCCTCCCCAGCTCCAAATGGTCCAGGAGGGCAAGATGCATGGCTTCCTGCGGATGTACTGGGCCAAGAAGATCCTGGAGTGGACCCGCTCGCCTGAGGAGGCCCTGCGGTTTGCCATCTACCTCAATGACCGCTACGAGCTGGATGGGAGAGACCCCAACGGATATGTAGGCAAGCTGCAGGATGGGGGTATGGGGTGGGGGGGGGTCTTACCTCTGATGGCCAAGGCCATGGTGATGGGGGGAGAGCTCTCTGCAGACAACCCAGCCCATGCTCCAGCCCATCCTGCTTTGCACCCACATCCCACCTGCTCTCCGGATGCCTCCGAGCAAGGGGCAGAGCTGACGCTCCCTCCCCACACCCGGCAGGCTGCCTCTGGTCCATCTGCGGCATACACGACCAGGGCTGGGCAGAGCGGGCCATCTTCGGGAAGATCCGCTACATGAACTACGCCGGCTGCAAGCGCAAGTTCGACGTGGGCCAGTTCGAGCGTCGCTACGCTCCCCACACGCTCCCCCAGTGACGGGCACAGCACGGCTTGAGATCGCTCGTGCCCCTCTGCTGGGGGCAGACGTGGCTTTGCCATGGTGCCAGCTCGCACCTTCCACCCCGGTGCCAGGCGCTGTTGGAGGGCTCGCTGCAGCAGGGGCAAGCCCCAGGGGTCTGCAGGTCTCTTTGCCATCGCTGCCTGCTCCAGCTGCCGTGCTGGGGCAGCTGCTGGAGCCCCGTGGGGCTGTGCAGAGCCCTCCTGCTGCCCGCGCCTGCCAGAAACCTCTTCTACAACCACTGTTCTCAGCAGTGAGCCCAAGTCGCTCTTGCTGTTGCTAATCACAGCTTAGATTTAGGCTGAGCAGGGCTTTTCTGGGGAAAAAGTTAAAGTTTACAGTTTCTATCTAGCTCCTGTGTCTATGGTGTTTATGGGGCGATGCACAACACTGCTGGGAGGGGAGAGCCGGGCAGCGTGGGACAGGCATGGAAGCAGGGATGGGGGCCCCTGGGCCCCTCTGCCAGCAGCAAAGGCAGGCTCAGGAAGGGGACAGGCGTTACAGAGAGCCCCTTACTCAGGGGCTTGTTCCTCCTGCCCAGAGTCCAGCGGACAGTTTGCAGGGGGAGGTCACAAACCCTATGGGTTAGTCAAGGGGTGTTGACAATAACCCCTCCCAGTGACATCTGGTGATGCATCACCGGTTGCACAAGTTGTGTCCCCCCCGCCGCCCTCAGGTCGTGTATCCTGCTCCCTCCCTGCCCCTGGGGCCGACAGGCACTGCAGCACTGACCCCATGGGGAGATACACCCCGTTACCCCACCTGAAACAATGCCACAACACAGTCAGGCCCCTTCTTAACTTAGTTTATTAGGGACGGTAT